GACGGCCCAAGAGGCCCCCAAGAGGGTCCCCTAACGGCCGAAGAGGGCCCCAAGACGGCCCAAGACGCCTCCAAGACGGCCCAAGAGGCCCCCAAGACGGCTCCAGGAGAGTGCCCAGACGGGGGACCCGACCGGACATTTCGAGCTCTCAGCCCCAAGAGGCCCAAGAGGCCCCGAAGAAGCCCCAAGAGGCCCCAAGAGGCTCCCAAGGGGCCCCCAAACTGCCCCAAGACAGCCCAGGAGAGCCCCAAATTGCCCAGGCCTCCAAGAGTGCCTCGAGACGGCGCAAGAGGAGCCCTGGACGGCCCAAGACGGCCTCAAGAGAGCCCCAGGCTGTCCCAAGAAAGCCTCTGGCCTCCTCCTCCTCCTCCTCCTCCTCCTCCTCCTCCTCCTCCTCCTCCCCCCCCTCTGCTCCCCCTCCTCCTGCTCTCCTCTGCCTCCTTCTCCTCCTCTTGCTTCTCCTCCACATCCTTCTCCCCCCTCCTCCTCCCTCATCCACCTCCTCCACCCTTCCTCTACCTCCCACTATCCTCCTCCCCCTGCCCCCCCCTCGTTTTCATCTTCGTCGTTCTCAGGGTCGGCGGCACCGGCCGTAAGGCCTTCGCAATCATCCAGAAGCGGCTTTCGCAGGTACAGGTGTGTGGGGACAAGAATGGCACCGACGCCTGCACATCCAGAGTGCAGTCAAGCTCGAGTCGCGCTGAGATCGTTGAACTGGCTCACTCGTGGATCGTGAATTACGAGCTGATGGGAGTGGGAGATGTAGCTTGCTGCAACAATCTTTCTGCAAATTAACCCACCCCGATGTGAAGGAGATCAATCAATTGGCGAAGCACATGAAGGACACCCGTCATCTCGGACTTTCGGTGTGGTCGATACCTTTCTACGATTTGGTCTGGATTAGTCACAACAACGAAAGAGGATCTCAATGATCATTCGACGTGTTGGCCGCAACTCGTGGCGTTACTCATGGCCTTAGGAAATGGGCAGGTCTTTTGGCATGCAGGAACTTTCGGATGACATGAATGATGGTTTCTACGTTACACGCAGCGTTTCCGCCACACACCGCAGTTGTAGTCATGGGATTGAGGAGTACCCATCGTCATGAGCTTCCATTCTCAGGATTTCGTCTTGACGAGTGGGGACGATGGTGTGAACAGCGCAATCTACTATCCCTTGGCGGGAGGAACGAAGAAAGTGATCAATCTGGATTTTCCCGGAAAGGGCGCGGGCCCAGGGTTCTCTTTTAGTAGGTTAACCCCCCGGCCCCCCTGCGACTTGGGCCGGCGAAATTATTCTGCGATAAATTACGTGCGGGAGCAGGGCCGGCGAATTAAAATTTGAGGATGTCTCGAGCGAAACGCTTGTTTTTCAGAATTTGTTGAGGATGTCTCGAGCGAGACGCTTGTTTTGTATTATAGATTGTCCTCTCCTGGGGACTTGAATTCTGAGGATCTCTCAAGTGGATTGCTTGTTTTCACGTGCCCAGGTCTTGAGGATGTCTCGAGCGAGACGCTTGGTTTCACGCCTCCAGGTGGCCCAGACAGATGTCTAGCATGAGGATTTGTTGAGGATGTCTCGAACCAGAGGCTTGTTTTCACGTGTCCAGGTCGCCCAGGCGGATGTCTAGCATGAGCATTTGTTGAGGATGTCTCGAGCGAGACGCTTGTTTGCACGTGTCCAGGTTGCCCAGGCGGATGTCTAGCATGAGGATGTGCTGACAACGTCTTGAGCGAAACGCGTGTTTTCACGTGTCCAGGTCGCCCAGGCACAGCACAGCCCTCGGCACGGTACATCAATATCGATACCCTTAGCATTGCAGCCTGGCATGTTGCCTGGCACGTTCCGCGGAGCGTCCCGTGGCGAGTCCCCCTGGCACGTCGCGCGGTGCACGTCCATTGGCACGTTCCGTAGCGCGTCCCCTTGGCACGTCCCGCGATGCGTGCCCATGGCACGTCCCCTGGCACGTCGCCTGGCGCGTCCCTTGGGACGTTCCGCGGCGCGTCCTCTTGGCATGTTCCCTCTGTCGATTAGTTCTGGGGCAGCTACCATCTGCTCAGGCAGCTCGAGCTTACGCTCCAGATCAGTTCGGTGAGGACTCGGATGCCAGGGAGGACTCGATCCACAACGCTAGATAGAGCACAATCGCGGCATGGCACATCGCAGTTCAGCACGGCCCAGCACAGCACAGCCGTCGGCACGGTACATCAAGATCGATACACTCAACTATGCACCTTGGCACGTTCCTTGGCGCGTTCCGTGGCGAGTCCACCTGGCACGTCGCGCGGCGCGTCCCCTGGCACGTCCCTCGGCACGTCCATTGGCACCTTCCGTAGCGCGTCCCCTTGGCACGTCCCGCGGTGCGTCCCCATGGCACGTCCCCTGGCACGTCGCCTGGCGCGTCCCTCGGGACGTTCCGCGGCGCGTCCTCCTGGCATGTTCTCTCTGTCGATTAGTTCTGGGGCAGCTACCATCTGCTCAGGCAGCTCGAGCTTACGCTCCAGATCAGTTCGGTGAGGACTCGGATGCCAGGGAGGACTTGATCCACAACGCTATATATACATATATATATAGAGAGAGAGAGAGAGATCACAGTCGCGGCATGGCACATCGCAGTTCAGCACGGCGTCGCACAGCACAGCCCTCGGCACAGTAAATCATCATCGATACATTCAGCATTGCATGTGCCCGTCGCCCAATCAGGTGTCTTTAAACTGTTGCAATGCCTTACATTTCTATATTCCTTTCCGGGTTCGTGGGTCGATCATGTTTCAGGACAAGGTTACGTGTTATGGACGCCAAATTCCTGTACGATCACTGGCAACGTGAAACTACTGGGGAACGTGACCGTAAGTGCTCCACGCAAATTCAGACCATCTGGCAGGCTATTACTGCGATGGGCTGCGAGATCTGCTGGGTAGACCACCGAGATATGCTAGTGGACGGAATGACCAAACGCAAGGCCACGATAGGTCTCATGGTCGAGCTGATGCGCACTGGCTCGATGTGCATCGTGAGTGAGGAGGCAACCATGGAGGACCATAGTCAGCGCATTTCTGCGGGACAGTGGCCGCAGCATTGATTGTCCTTGTTCGTACGGTTTTCCTATCTGCCTGCAGCCTGCGGGCCAATCCGTTTTGCTATGTGCAGAGAGGCAGCGCGAGGAGACTGAAAGAAACAACAATTTTCGGGATATTTAGATTTATGATCTTATATGTGTTCTCCCGCACTTCCCTTCAGCCCTCTAACAAATACCACCCTGCGATCATTTGTAGCCATACCGATTGGGGGTGGCTTACCCCTTTTATCCTTCCAAGCTCCAGACCTCTATACCAACCTATACCAATAATCCCCCGTCTCTACCTCCCGATTCCCGAGCTGTGCGACACGCTGTACGTGAGCGAGCTGTACGTGTGCGCGACGTTCCTGCAGCGTGCGCTGATCCAAAAGATACCGCTACCAGTGTCTTTCATGGGCCGTCCTCGAAGCCTTCGGGGCGGGCCCAAGAAGTCCAAATCGGGGATTCGGGCATTCTCCTCTTTTCGATATCCAGAGCGTCCAACACGTTCGAAGAGCTCCCCCGGGATCGCCCCAAGACGGCTCCCGATGCTCCCAAGAGGCCTCCAAGATGGCCCCAACAAGCGCGCCAGCGCCAGACCGCTGAAGCCTCTGCTCCAAGATGGGACCTCACAAGGGCTCTGGAGAGGCCTCCGAGATGACTCAAGAGGCCCCGCGAGGACTCCAAAAGGCCACTGGGCCCACGACCTGGCCGTGGCGATACGGGGCAAAATGCGACCAGCGCAATCAAAATGCTGTGGGTACTGTCGGGAAGGCTGCCTCAAGACGACCCGAGAACACACGGAGAAGCCGACAGCACAACCCAGGATGGCCCGCAGACGGTCCAAGGGGACCCCCCGGAGAGCTTGCGCCCAGATGGGGCCGAATTGGGGCAATCGTTGCTGCCACCCTGTTCCCCCAGGAGAGTCCAGAATCGATAAGTCGGACCGGCGATCGAAATGAATCGGATCTGCGGAAATCGGCAGCCGAGTCGGGAGAAGCCGAATCGGCGGAAATCGGCAGGCTAGCAAGCGTCCGTTGAGAAATCGCAGCCCACATCGGACACCGAAGCCGAAGCGAATCGGAATCGGAATGCATCGAAATCGAATCGACTCGGAGGAATCAAACTGAGTCCTGCGCCCCCTTCGCCGGCCCATGCTCTCGTGCCCCCCTTGCCGATGTTTTCGTTTCCTGATGCCACGCTGCTCCATGTCACCCTCCCGCCTCTTCCGCCCCTGCCGATAACCTGTCCAGGGCGGCCCGCCGGCGGAACTGGCCGTGAGGCCTCTGCAGCACTGCGCCCGCGAGTTCGCGCTGCCGAACGGCACTGCCGGCGAGGGGCGCTTCGATCGAGGTCGTGGGACAGAGAGCGGGAGAGCCGCATATTCGAACCGCCCTTCTTCTGTTTCGGGGATTTTCACGGACCTTCCTTGCCTTCCTGGGTCCTGAACGCGCACGGTCAGACAGCAGACAGGAAGATGTGCAGGAGAAGGTGCAGCGGGACAGCCTCTGAGAAAGCAATGTTCCACGACTGGGCTCGACGGTACATATTCCACTGTCTGCTTGCCTACTACCACCTGGCCCGATGATGCGATCCCCGGAACTTCCTGAGCTGACATCACCGCCTCCTGCGTGGGGAGGAATTAAAGAAAATCTCATGAACCAACCAATACCGGTCCACCTGCGCGCGGCCTCCCGTGCTTCCTGGGGGCTGCGCGCGAGGGGAGATTCCTGTCAACGGAAATGTCCCAAGACTGTTCTGCACTCCTGGACACCTGGAATGATTACCTGGAAAATGTTCGGCCACGAGATTGCATGCGTCGCGAGTGCCTCATAATACGATTTTGTTGAAGGGGTCTACATTGGCAGGGATCGAGATGACTCTGCCCACTGTGACTGTTCTTTTGCCATTCGGAAAAGGGCGGCATCTGGTGCGCGGCGGCCTGCGCTGGCGTCCCCCATGCCGGTGTATGGCTCCCTCTGCGCCTGCGGGGGCCGCGAGGCTGCCGTGATCTTCGAACCTGCGCCCCTGCGAAGGTCCTACGGAGCCCCCCCGCAACCCATTCTGCAAACCGGTCCTGCCGTGGTGCCGAGAGCGTCTCGTCACCGCAACCCGCACCACGAGCGGCAGCCACTGGCGCCGCGCCCCCGTTGGGACCAGCCAGAGCCCCTGGCTCTTCAAGGCCGCACGCTCGGGATCCAAGGGAAGAAGAAGAAGAAGAAGAAACATAATAATTATACTCATAAGAAGAAGGATACTAATAGTTATAATAAGAGTAATAAGAATACTAATAATAACCAGGATGCGAAGAAGAATAACGACTCCGAAGGAAGACAGGTAAGTTCACCACAACATAAACGAACAACGAACACGAATCAGGTGAGGGTGGGCGCGCCTCGCCGCGATCGACGCCGCGACCGCACCCAGGGGGAGCGATGGATCCCAGGTCTTTGCTGGCCACCCTGCCACAGCTGGGGCGCGCGGACTGGCCCGCACCGCCGATCGGAAGCAGTGGACCTCTCACCCCCCCCCTCCCTGAACATCAAGCACACACACCCAGGCACTCAAACCTATATGGAGGAATGAGGAAGGGCGCAGAGATGAAGGCGCTAGAGGCGTGGGCGCGGGTTGCCGGACCCCCATCGAGCAACACACACCCATAGCCCCCCCAAAGGACTTACACCCCGAGAAATCCAGGTGTTGCATAGGCATGGGTGCTAGCTTTAGGTCGGGCATGTCCCCCAACAGCGGGATTTTGGGCGAACGAAAAAAACAACAACTCCAAAAATACCCCCCAAATGGGCAAAAGTAGTTCAAACATCGCCCCCAGACTATTTTTTTGAACTTTTTCTGGATATTCCTCCTGCAGAGGGATAGGCCCGACTTAACGCTAGCTGCCGGCTCGTGATCCCTCCCCTCTGGCTTCCTCCGAGCCGGAGAGAAGCAGCGGGGGAGCGGACGCGAGCGGACGCGCGGGCGGGCCGGGGCCCAGACCCGGGGAACCTGGCCGACACGCAAGAATGGCCCCAGGTAAGCGTGACCCTTCTTCTATCCTCATTCCTCCCTCTCCCCATCGCTTCCATCCTCACTCTCTTCTGTCTTCCTCCCTCCTCCCTCCTCTTCTTCTTCATTCATTATTTCTTCTCTCTTTTCCCTTTTCAGGGTTGCTCTTCCTCCTTTCCTTGATACTTGGGGCGGGGGCGCAGGGGAGGGGAGGAGGGCAAACCCGCGCGCCACAGGCCTGCGCCGTGTGGGGCCCTCTTGGGCCCGCACCTGCAGTCGCTTCTGCGACACAATAGGACGGGGCGAGCACGAGGATAAATCCGCTCCAGAACGTTCTGGATCGCTCTCAGAGCGTTCCGGAACGCTCCGAGAAGGCCGCGGCGCCCGATACGTCTTCTAGGGCCGCCGGATCTCAGAGATTCTCGATTTATCCTCACTCGATGTTATCCCTGTCCTGGCTTCGTCTGAAAAGGGCAACTCCTGCGCGGAGCCGAGGTCCTGGCCGGGCCCACCTCAGGCCCAGGACCGGAGCAGCCTGCCTGGGAGGGCACACGCAGCGATCCTGGGCGCAGGGCTGGTCTGGCCAGTATCGGCGCAGGTGTACGGCTGGCGGCTTGCGGCCCCGCCCCGAGCACAGTTCAGCCATGCAGTAAGGATGCGCGATAAGGATGCAAGGGCCTTGGACGCCCATGCCGAGGCTCTTCGAGCGGGGCTGGCCATCGAACGTGGTTGAGGATGGTCCGAAGATGGCCGAAGAGGCAAGGATGCAAGGGTAACCTTGGGAAGTCGATTATCCTTACTACCTGTGCGACCACCCTTCGGGTGGTAAGGAGGTTCGGGGGGGAACCAGCGTCTGACTCAAGCAATCTCACTATCGATCTCACTACTTCTGAACAGCTCAATCGATTTCATCATCGATCTTACCATCGATCTCACTATGGATCTCACAATCGTTCTCACAATCGGTATCACTATCTATTTCACTATGGATCTCACATGGATCTCGCAACCAGTCTTACTATCGATCTCACCATCGATCTCACTACGGGACACCAGCGGGACACCGGCGGGACACCGACGGGACACCAACGGGACACCGATGGGACAGCGACGGGACAACGACGGGACAACGACGGGACAGCGACGGGACACCACGGCGGGACAACGCGGCCACCGCCCGCCCACCGTGGGAGGTTCGGACAATTGTCGTGCCCCGCCCGGGCAACAGCGGAGTCATTCCTCCCGCCCCCCCACGCAACTTCGCGTCGCCCGCACGCACGGCACGAACCCGAAACCGATTTCCCGATCGGGGGCTCTCCGTTCCACTTCGATCTCACCTCCCAACCTCCGATCAAGGTTGACTGTACCCCGACGCCCAGCGCCGTGTGGAAAAGCCGCGCCGCCGCGAACAGAAACCACGACCAGAGCCCATCGGCCCCATGTCTTTCTGTCCCCCCTCTCCAGGCCACACAACTTCGCGCGCCGCGGGTCCGAAGGGGGGCGCAAAAACGCCTGTCATGATTCCTCCTCCGCCTCCCTCCTCCCTCCTTCCCCTCCCCTCATCCCTGCTACCTTTCCCTCCTTGTCCAGAGACCTCCTTCGCCACGAACAACTCACGACAACTATTTATTTCTCGAGACTCGGGGCCGTGACAAAACATCCGGTACGCAAAACAAGTCCAGGAGGTGAGGGGTGGGAAAGTCACACAAAAGAGGCTTCATACAAATGCCCCGCTACCCGTCCGTCAAGTGCACCCGCCCTTTATTATTTTGTTTCTTAGCGCAAAGACTTCCACAGCACGGCATAGAAACTCCGACGACATAACTCAGCTCCCCCCATCTCGGGTCGGACGAGAGGGGCGGATCGCAAAGGAGGTTCGCGAATCGGCTCGCGTAGCTGCTTCCCCTGGCGTCCCTCGGCGCCAGAGGCGACAATTACTCGAGGAAGAAACCCAGCGGCAGGAGGAGGAGGAGGAGGAGGCATCTTGGGAGCCTCTGGGGGCTTTCTTGGCGCCTCCTGGGAGCTGCCTGGGGGCCTCTTGGAGGCATCTTGGGGTGGGGCCACCTCTCGGTCTGACCAAAGCAGCCCCACCTGCTCCGTTAACTTCGCGCCCCAACTCTCTTTGCCCGCTGCCGTCGCGCCGGGCCAATCTCACACACTCCCTGCGCGGTCGCGGCCTCGCGCGCGGCGACAAGGCGGAGCAAGATGAGCAATCTGAGCGAGCGCGCGCGAGCGACCAGAAACATTTTCACACACATTCACGCGCGCACGCACACACACACACAACACACAAGCACAAACACAAGCACAAACACACGCACAAAGAGACACCCACACACAAACACACACACACACAACACACAAAGAGACACACACACAACCAGACACACACACACATTCAAACGCAAGCGCAAGCACAAACACAATCACAAAAACACATAGACCCTCACCCACACACACCCACACACACCCACACACACGCACTCACATACCCACACACACAGACCCACACAAACACACACCCACACACACACACGCACACACACCCACACACACATCCACCCACCCACACCCGCCCACTCCCACACCCACCCACACACACCCACCCCCACACCCACCCATATCCACCCACACCCAGCCACACCCAGCCACAATCACACACACCCACACACACACACACACCCACAGACACCTATACACCCATACACAACCACGCACCCACACACCCACGCATCCATAAATCCACACACCCGCACACCCACAAACCCACACATCCACACACCCACACACCCGTACACACGCGCACACGCGAACGCGCACAAACACACCCACATATCCACACACAGACATACACACATACACATATACACATACGCACACACACATACACACAGACACACAGGCACACAAACACTGAGGCACAGAGACACACGGACACAGAGACACAGAGTCGCAGAGACGCAGTCACAGAGACACAGAGACACATAGACACAGGGACACAGCGAACAAGTGACACAGAGACACAGAGACACATAACCAAAAAGGCACAGAGGCGCAGAAACACAGAGACACAGAGACACGGAGACACAGAGACACAGAGACACGGAGACACGGAGGCACAGGGACACAGAGACATAGAGATACAGAGACACAGAGGCACAGAGACATAGAGACACGGATACCCATACATATATACACAAAGACACGGGGACTCAGAGACACGGAGACAGAGAGAGAGAGAGAGAGATACACACACACACAACACGCACAACACACAAAACACACATAACACAACACAACCCACCACACCACACCACAACACAACATAACACACCACAACAGACCACACCACACCACACCACACTACACCACAACACAACATCACACAACACAACACACACACACACACCAACACCAACACAAACACAACCACACACAAACACACACCTATGTATGATTGTTATATACACGTACACACAAAAACACACACAAAGACACACCCTACACAGAGACGCGCAGACACACACCCCGACACACAGAGCCACGCACAGAGACACACACACACAGACGCACACAGGCAGACACACACACACAGACACACAGAGAGAAACACAGAGGGAGACACACATACAAACGAACAGAGAAACGGACAGGGACACACATACAGAGACACGCAAACAAGGACACACACACAGAGGCACACAGACAGAGGCATACAGACAGAGACACCCAGGCAGAGACACACACACACATAACACACACGCACACACACACGCACACACACGCACAGAGAACAGACAGACACACACAGAGACACCCAGACATAAACACACACGGACACATAAACAGAGACACGCTGACACAGACACACGCGCCGATGTACACAAACAGAGACAAACATTAAGTCAGGCCTGTCCTCCTACAAAGGGGTTTTGGACGAAACATGCAGAACACTCAAACGTAACCACAAATTATCAAAAAT